AGTTTACCATCCTGTACCGCCTAGAGCTGACAGTCCGCTATGAGACCGCTGTCGCCAATGTTTACGAGTCCCACTTGTGGGACTGTTTGTTGGGCGGGAGCAAGATTCAGACCACTTTGATGATGGAGCCCAATGGGGATAGGCACGTGCAGCACTGCCTCTTTCTTCGCTGCCTTCAGACCTCACTCTTGCCCGCTCTTTACCAACACCTTCTATCACACTGACAGTATATTACAAGCCTCTGTCTGGATTATGAGTCCCACTTGTGGGGGTTTGTTAGGACAGAGCAGTTTTTGGTACAAGACCATCAAAGTACCCACCGGGGATATGTACCCCGTGCCCTTCGGTCTTTGGGGTTCGGCCGAACGCCGGGTGATGACATGTACACTCGGCCTCATGACTTACGCCTGTTGGTCGGTAAGTGGATTTACCGGTTACCGGGTCATGTGCTAAATCCCCATTTCAGCATGAGTTCCCACGATCCGCCTTCTCATCTGTACATGTTCAGTACACCATTCCAAGTGCAACCTGGACAAAGATTGCAAACAAGATTATGAGCCAATATTGTGTAGAATTAGTACTTTAAAGTTCAAGATTCTTCATAAAAGCTGAGCAGAGTGATGAATTGTGGTCAGAAACATCTGTTGAGATGTTGAAGAGCTCTCGGAGCATGACACCCAATATTGGGCTCATCATTTACGTCTGTGGGCTCGGTACGGTAAGTGGACGTACCGGCTTCCCGAAAGCATGTGACAAATTTCCATTTTCAGTGCAGGTTCTCACAACCTTCTCTTTGGTATCGACTTTCATTTAACCGCACTGTATCAAGCCCGACAAACTGTAAGACAACAGGGGGGAGTTTTATACCTGTTATATGATACCTATATGATATCTGCTATCTTTATTATTTAATTGCAACTGCCTGAGGCTTTTCAGGTTTCACAGCAGCTCTATCACACACCTTTGAGTTCCGGGATCTTCAAGATGCTTGAGCCTGGACTGCAGGAGTACAAGTAACCAGAAATCTGAGCTCTGGTCTGGCTAGAATGTCTTTGAGCCCTTATTTTAGTATATGATGAAGCTGTGAGGGCTGAAAGTTCGGCATCAATCAGCCATCCATCTGCTGGCATCCAAGTCAGTCCCTAGGCCTTTTCAACATGAATGCTGCCTCCCAATCCAAAAAATTCCTGATTCTCACACAATCCAAATTTTCTCAATGTCTTGGCTGCTTGGTTGTAGTTTGGTCTTGCGGTCCTGACCGTGGTAGTGGTGCTGAATGTATGAGCATTAATGCTATTTAACATATTTACCAGTCATATTCCACTGTAAATAAATACTGTCCCCAGCAGTACTTACTTGATGATGTAAGGTTCATGTTGTTTTGTTGCTAGTGAAAACAGGGGGACTCGTATCTGCCACCGGAACGGTTGGCCTCTATCCCACTGGTGAGATCAATGCACCAAGGTTGGAGAAGGTCATCATCCCTGAGTCCTTGCCGCGGAATCTACGCCTCAGATTCCCATTTTCTCCCATCAGCACCATGATAACTCCATCATGGGGCGCTATCTCAATGATCCGCAACCTCGACTTTGCCACTGAAGGATTACGGGTTCTGAGGTTGGAAAGATTCCGGAGATCGGAGGAGGTAATTATTCACACATTTCCGGGTGTTTTATCTCTCAGGTGGTCTTGTGCAGAAGGTTTCAGCCCGCTCAACTATCTCACGCTATCTGCCATTCAAGAACTCATCTTATACAACATGTCACTTTGGTTGTACCACGAGCAGCCAGCGTTGGAGAAATTTCTCCTTCGTTCCAGGTGTACAGTCATCATTTTCCGCATTGATGGGCGCTTGACACCGGACATTCTGGCGGCCATTTCTTTGCTACCCAGACTTAGTATCCTGGATTTGAGTTTGGGTAAATGGTACCATAGCTGGGCAGATTGGATTGTGTTCATGGAAGAACTCACCTTGCCTCCATTGGGTGACAAAACATCCTGCCTTGTTCCAATATTGTGCATTCTCGCGCTCCCTCACCTCTCGCATGACTACTAGATTCTGGAAGCATTCCTCACCATGCTCGAGTCGAGGATGTGGAGCTCAGTTGATTCGAGTCTAGATTCTGAATTAACTTTGGAGGAAGTTTCGGTCAAGATGAATTTGGACAGTAACCCTGTCGCTCTTGAGTGTGTTGCTAGACTCAGACGCTGTGGTCTAGTATTCAGGGTTCTGGATGAATGATTATGGGCTTCTTTCATCCTGTATGGATTGATGAATATGGGTTCTCTGACTCGGAGTTGTCCACACGATATAAACGATATACATATGCGCTCCATGTCTATTTCCAGGTTGTTTCAACTTGTATTCTAAATCACTGTCAATGACATTATTTCCGGTCCCATAACGGTTACCAGCTCTCAAGAAGTATATTTTCACCTCTGTCCTATCCCTCGTCGCAATCTGCATTTCCCTCAAAGTCATAAAGCCCACAGAAAGAAAAGGCTCAAAAAGGCTCGTCACCGTCAGATTCCAGAAACATAACCTGCTTGGCAGTGATATTCAAGGTTTGCTTGCACGCCAGGTGGATCATGGTCAAGGCAGTCCAATGGTATCAGAGAGCTAGCTCCTGCAAAGCGTCTATCGGGACGGCCAGATATGGCAATGCACTTTAACGTCTCGGAGCGCGGCAAGGCGATATAGGTGAAGAAATGGGCGATATAGTACAGGAAATGGAGTCCTTCGGGGTCTAAAGGGAACTGAAGTATGATGCTTTGTTTCTGCTATAGCAGCGATGATGGTGTAGCGGCAGCACGTCCAATTAACAACACTGCTGCACCGATGGCCCTGGTTCGAATCCAGGTCATCGCCTTGCCGGTGACATCCAACTGCCTTTTGATTCTGCCAGGTCTTTTTATTCCGCCAGGTCACTCATCTTCCAATCTTGATATCTCTGAGCTCAGAACATGAGGGGGGTATAGAAGTGAGGTACACAGGGAGAAGCGGGAAGAGTATCTGACATTGTCAAAAGAAAAAGACATGAAGAACACCAAAGCGGCCCGATCAACAATAATCCCTCAAGCGTGGGCTACATAATTCGTAGTGACACTGGCAGTGCTACAATGCAGCAGCGCATGATGCCGAGCAGTGCCGAGGCGTGCCGAAGATATTATTGAGCTCTTAACCATTTACAGTAATACACACATTTCTGCGCCCCCAGCTATATTTATAGCCCCTCTGGCTAAATTCTGGACACCTGAGGTTGGTATGAGGGACTTCTGGTAATTTACAGTATCCCAGTTTCTCGTTAGTGCTCTCCTGGACTTGTACATGGTGGAAATTGATAGATACAACCATTATGCCAAGATAGAAGATGCTCTTAAGATGCACTGGAGTGCACTTGGGTGCACTGGACCGCACTGGACCTGCACTGGACCCGCGCTGAAATCTGACTGCCGAGATCTGCCGAATCAAGGCTAGTACCCAAGACACTGGTACTTCCCAGCACGTGGAAAAGCGCGCCGGCTTAGCAAACCATATAGAACGGCCCTTATAAGCAAGGGTGATATACGGACCGTGTTTTTAATGCCAGGAATGCAATATAATGTAGCTATCAAGGTCCGTTTCTCTTATGTTTGATTGCCAGTGAAGTTCTTTCGGCAAGAGTTCAAGTCCCATGTCACAGGGGTCACGGGTAACTTGTACTTGGACCCAACACGGTTTCAAGGTATCAATTTGGAAAGATATTTATTTTAATACATTAATCAATTACAGTCCGAGTCAAATCTGTAATTTTCAACTTGCTAGAAACCGAGTAAATAAACTTCAACATCAAAAAGGAAACTAGTAGCTTACCTTGAAGTCTTGATCTACCTCAACACGCTCGTGATTGTCGTAGGACCACTCCGGGAGAAGATCATAGTAGTGATTCCAATAGTCCTGATGATAGCCTGCATCTAAACCCCACTGAGAATTTCCCGCATGATCGGCTTCGTTGGAATCCTCAAACATCGCTGCTTCAAGGTTAGATAAGGCCTCTCTATCAACATCAACACTGTCATTTGAAAGACATCTCGTTTTATTGACTGACATGCATGTTTCAAGACATACTTTGTGATTTGCGCAGGAGTCCTGTCCGAAGCTATCTCTGAAACTCAGAATATGAGAGGGTCAGGAATGAGGAACATCATGAGATTATATCGTAGGTACATACGTAGAAGCGAGGTACACAGGAAAAGTGGAAAAACATCCAACATCGTAAAAGAAAAAGAGATGGAGACTCAGAAAAGCAACCCAATCAACAACAATCCTTCGTTGCCCAGGATGTCGTTTCCGTGACCGTATTGACGTGGATCACCTGAATCTGACGTGGATCATCTGAAGGTATATTGAGCTCGCAAGCAATAAGTATACGGACGGTCCAGGGTGAGTATATGGATGATCCAGAGTGACGTTTCGCAAATTTGGCGCGTTTGCGAAATACTGTATGCAATCCTCAGACAATAGCCTGGGAAAAGTCCAGTCGTCACATATCGCTGAAAATGTTTCTAGCTTCTCGAGGCTGGTCTGTTGAATTCGCGTCCCATCGAATTTTCGACGGTACGGGCAGTGTCCGGCCGCTGCGCCACATATAGCATGACCTAAAATCACAGTGAGAGAGAGATGTGACATGAAATGGTATGCAACCGGGCTGTTTTATCGAGTTTAAACCGATGGTGGTGGACAAGTGACACAAGTGACTTCCAACAGACATGCAGCAGAAACCGGACCCGGGGGGACCGCCCGAGAAGGACCAACGAGGAATGTATTTACCGTGATGAATAGCTCGATCATTAGCTTTCAAATGGCGGTGCTGTTATGCTTGCTAGAGAATATCCATGAATGCACTTTGGCCGGCAGGATTGATGAACATGGTGGAAATCGAGAGCTATTTGAGTAATGGAGTTGTGGCTGAGGGCTCAGACTTGCTTCAATCTATATTCATATCCCCGTATCCTTGTAAGCGATGATGATGTAGAGGTAGCACGTTGGACCGTCCAACTATCGTCCAACGTCGTGGCCCTGGTTCAATTCCAAGTTGTCGCCTGAATTGACTCAGACAAAAAATGCTTTTTTATTCTGTCAGTTTGCTCGACAACATGACCATTCCAAATTCAGAACCTGAGAGATGCAGGAACATTATAGGTACTCGGACACATTATGAGGAGAGGCACATAGGAAGAAGTGGGAAAAAGGAAGAATCGTAGTCAAATGCCGCAGTAGGTCATGTAGCACATCCGACTGCACAATATGGATGGCTCTGGTTCGATTCCACGTCGTCACCTCGGCTGAAATGATGGACAGTGGTCTTTTTATTCTGCCAGGTCACTCATCTTCCAATTTTAATATCTCTGAGCTCAGAACATGAGAGGGGCGTGTACATCGGTAGAAGTGAGGTACACAGGGAGAAGCGGGAAGAGTATCCGACATTGTAAAAAGAAAAAGAGATGAAGAAAATCAAGGCGGCCCGATCAACAATAATCCCTCAAGCGTGGGCTACATAATTCGTAGTGACACTGGCAGTGCCGGGGCGTGCCGAAGGGCAGGATATTTTGAGCTCTTAACCATTTACAGTAATACACACATTTCTGCGCCCCAGCTATATTTATAGCCCCCTCTGGCTAAATTCTGGACACCTGAGGTTGGCACGAGGGCTCGAGTCCCCCCAGAGTTCATCCACAATACATTTGGTGGAGACTTGAGATCTTCCGCCTGGGCTTCCGATTGTAGATGTTCGATGAAATTCACAGCTCCAACATCAGACGAGTTCCCATTCATCCGTAGCTTCGAAGTGCTGAATCAGGCGTACTGGATAGCTGAAAGTTCCATTGCGGGCAAGTACACCGGCGAAGACTTGTCTAGCCTATAATGACCTCTAGAGACCCGTCACCGCGATAGCTCGCATTGGTGCAGCTTCAGGTGTCACGGTTATAATGACACTTTCCCACACCCGGGGGTTCGCGGAGCTGAGGATGAAGTGTGTGCGCGTTGGTCGGGGTGCGCATCCGAGTCGATGGACGACGAGCGCTTTATCACCGTCCACCGCCTACTCCAACTGAAGCGATGATGGTGTAGTGGTAGCACATCCAATTAACAACACTGCTGCACGGATGGCCCTGGTTTGATTCTAGGTTGTCGCCTTAGTAGCCCTTCCATTGTCTTTTTCTTTGTTCTGTCAATGTGCTTCAATATTGTTGACACGTCTAAAAATCATCTCTTACAACCATCCCTACATCTACGAAGCCACACGAGAACATAAGGAACATCATCAGGTTTCAAGAAGGTATATAGGAGGAAGCTTGAGCCACACTACATAATTGTGAGGCATCTTTTATAAGCGACGATGGTGTACTAATGGTAGCATGTTCAGCCATCGAGTTTACGTATGGTTCTGGTTCGATTCCAGGTCGTCGCCTGGACTCGAAAGCTAACCTTTTTATTCTGTCAATTCGCTTGTCTTCCATAAGGAACATTATGAGGTTATATCGTAGAGGTACATAGAGAGAAGAGGTATGCAATATGGTCCGAAAGAGAAAAGCAAGCCCAATTAACAACAATCTGAACCAATCATGGCAAAGACTTGTCTGGCCTCTAATGACTAACCTCCGCGTTCACAACTCCACCTGCTCCTGACTCCGATACATGCGCACCCCGGGGATTCGCGGAGCTGATGGGGTGGATTACAGAGCGATGGCGTTGAAGTGCGCGCGGCGAGGCTGAAGTGTCCGAGTTGACGGTCTGCCAACGTCTCCAAGGTGCTAGTGTCGATTGAGGTCAACAATCGCAGTATCACCAGTGACATTTTGGACAAAGTGAGTTCCAGTTTCTCTGAGTTCCATTGAGTCGAAGTGATAGGGCCTGTCCAATTGATAAAGCCACGGGATCGCGTTGTGTCATCGATCTAACATCCGGACGCAGGTATCCAAGGTATTGACAAGAAGGCTCATGACCAACAAGGGGCTGATTAACGCTCCATAGTGTGACCCAGCATCTAATGTATAAAGAATCGCAGGTCTAAAAGATCTTTATTCACTATCATGCCTTCAATTCTCTTTGTGTTCTCCTCTGCTGACAAAAATCTAGTGGGAAACCCCGCTGGTTATTATTACGAGACCCATTCATGGGGCTCGTTTGTTGGGACGGACCAGTTTCAGGATGGGATCATCAAAGAGCCCAAAGGGGATATCATTCTCGTTATCCCCTCTCACAGTCATCCGCCGACAAGCTGTGATTCTCATTACATGTCACTGTACCGTTGCCAGTCTCTGACACCGCGGGCAAATCAGGATGCACCATGGAACATGCACCTGAACTGCACTCAACCTGCACTCAACTCGCACCTGAAAATTGAGTCACCAGGTCAAATAATAGATCCGAAACTTGACAGTTGCCATTTTGAGTGAACAATGTTGGAGGGTGTGTGATGCTGAGATGCCAATGACACATCATGAGATCACCCTATTTTAATGCTTTCTGTACTTTGTCAATCTTCACCAGTCATTAGGGTTAGGGTTAACTGCTCACAAAACTGGCCATGAATGACACCAAACCCTTCAAGTCAAGGAATAACAAATGATGCAATACAAGCAAAAAAAAGCGGACTTGGTGTCAAATCTTTTCTACACAGCCCCCGATCACATCACATGTGGGAAAATGTGTCCAAAAGAAGCACACATTTTGGCAGGTGCAACTTGAGTGCGAGTTGAGTGCAGCCTGACTGCATGTACCACAGGTGCATCATGATTTGCCCGCGGTGTGAGTCCGAGGAGTCATTTGATAGTCTTGTAAACCAGACTCAATGACATGTGAAGAAGAATTATTCCCTGTGTAGAATCTGGGTTTGATGACAGGTCCGCGATGTATTGACTCGGGGTTTAAAAGTAACCGATGCTGATGGGCGGCTTGGCACGTGCTCCGCCCATTTTAAGCGCTACTCTGATCACCATGCCAAAAAATCTGTGATGTTCAGCAAGGCACGGCATCAGTCACATCATTATCGCATGTTCATCCTTATGTCCATTTTTCTGGTATGCCCCTGACACTATAGGTATGAATAGTGTATTAACCATAGAGTGCAAGATGGTCTGTTTACATTTGAACAAGAGCTTGTCGAGGCAAAAGGTGCCCCAATGTGACCGCTGCTGAGCCCGGCCGAACATCTGAGTTTCTTTAAAGTGGCCCCGAATTTTGCAGTTAGCTGTCATGACTCATACACAGCACAATCCAGTCGCTTATGGACAGAACTTGCACTAGTGCTGGCCAGGTGCTGGCAGTCATTTCTTTGAAAACAATACATGACAGGGACTGGTGGAGTTTTTGGTCTCGTATCTGCCACCGGAGGATGGCCTTTATCCCACTGGTCTACCAGAAGGTCTGCATTCAGCAGATATGCCTTCAGTGCTAAGAGACTAACCTCGAGGTCTAGAGCCGCTCATCCATACTATATATTCTCTCCCTCATGCGAGATCGACTTTGCTTCACCCAAAGGCACCTTCCCAGTCGATCCCACTAGTATTGAAGTCAGTATCTCACTCATATATCTCTCACATTGACACTTATATGTATCTTCTAAAAGCTCTGGGCAAAGGACAAGGAATGCATTGATTTCTTGAAGGATGAAACCGTCAAGGCCCAAGTTCACCGAGGCAAGACGCTCTCTGATGTCGACGCCGCCAAATATGATGGGCCCTCAAAATGAATGAAAAGAAATCGATGAAAAGGCTCGTGAGAGTCGGAAACACAACCTGCTTGGTCTGGCGGCGATGGTGATATTTAAGGAGCCGCAGGAGCGGTATCGACCAGGTTTGCTTGCACCAAGTGGATTGTGGTCAAGCTAGATCTAATGGTATCGGAGAGCTCCTGGAAAGTGTCTATCGGGACGTGATCCGACAAAACCGAAATTCTACAATCTGATCGGTGGATACGACGCGTCAACGCCTCGATATGGCAGACATGGCAAAGCGATATAGGTGAGGAAATGCGCAATATAGTCCAGGAAATGGAGTCTTTCGGGGTCCAAAGGGAACTGAAGTACGATGTTTTGTTCTCGCCTTTGAAGTGATGATGGTGTAATCGTAGCATGTCCAACTAAACAGCTGTATTGGGGTAATACACTGCTGATATCCAAATTTGTGCTAGGTTTCACTTTTTACAGGTTAAATCGTGCTAGGTTCAGCTATCCTTGAAAATGTGTGCTAGGTTGCAATAAGACAGAAATTGATGCTAGGTTTGTGATCTGGAAAAATGTGCGAGGTTTGAAACATGTGCGAGGTTTGAAATATGTGCGAGGTTTTGTTATCATTTTTGTGCAAGGTTTGCAATATGTGCAAGGTTTTACCCCCATCTTTGTGCAAGGTTTGAGATACATGCGAGGTTCTTGGTGCGAGGTTTGTAAGGCTCAAGATGACCTCAGCAAAGCCCTGCATGTCAGCAATATGACATAATACAGGCACAAGGTCATTGGCTGAATTCAACCGATTTGGAAGCACACTACCAGTTATGAAATGGTCTGAATGACTTGTCATATATTGTGACACTCAGTTGACATTCAGAAACATCCTGAAAGTAGTCAAGGGACAAAGACAGATGTCTATTGAAGGTGTGACCTGTTGACTTTGGTTCTGATGCACCACTAAGATTCCATAATCTCAACTGTTTCCAGTTACAAAAGCAACTTTGGGTGTCCAGATAAATCTCCAGACTGCCTAGAACAATTTGAGAATGCAAGATGAAGCGAAGTGCAAAGTACCGGGTCTGTTTTGTCTGGATTCCGAGCGATCAGCCAAACTGTCACAAGGTTTCGGAGCCACTCCGCCGGCCACTTCAAGATTTTCAATGTTCAGAAGTCTTTGGCGCTCGTGGCCGCAGTGTAATCTGTAGATCTCGATACCGTCATCAGGGTCTGAAGCCTCGCACCGGCCAATTGCGGTGTCATATCAGTCACGACAAAGTTATTGATCAATCAAGTCCTCTCGAATATTGAAATGTCGGACTTCTCCGACAGGTACTGTACAGTTGATTTTGCTTCCGCTGAGTTTCAACCTGAAACCTCACTATGGATGGCCTAGTCAGATTCGGGGAGACTTTGGTCGAGAGAATAATGGTGTTGAGCGGAGAATCATCAGTCATCGAGGAGAATGACATCGAGCCTTTTTACGTGGACGGTAAGAGGTCAGCAGCTTATGTGCACATTTGACTCATAATCTGTAGGTCAAGGCACAATATACATATGGAACAAAATTGGCGTGACGTTCGCAAGGACACTCTCGAGTTCTTCCGACAGATATTCAAGCATCTCGAGGAGTTGGATCTCTTTGACTTGGAGAATGACGTTCATCATATCTGCTTGTACATCATCTTCCAACCTCAGATCCAGGCATCACTCCAGCGCACTATCAGCTCTTGGAACCTCCACCGGATGCGTACCGAGCATTACAAAACACTGATATCGATATACGAGCTCAGCAGGGAAAAAGCCATCGTCCGGGGTCATTGGAGTGGAGACCCTGGAGACGATATTGCAACTGCTTCCCATGTTGACTATGGCAGGGAGTCCGAAAATGAGCCAATGCCTCCTCTCGATGAGCTACAGGATGATCCGGTTTGTCCTATTCGTGCTGATTACACTTCTGTTGATGAGGAGCGCAATGACGGGGTTTTCTTAAATGATGATGACGAGATTGCAACCGGTAGACGTCTTCTCGAGGGCCTTGATCTCATTGCAGAGGACCAAAACTGGGGTATTAATCTATATTGTGAAGCTGTCCTTTTGATGGAGTCCTGCCTTGGCTTATATGATGAATAGATGCTTTGCTTTGTTTTCTTTAATAGATATCTTTGGGCTTGTGAATTGAATTTGAATCTGACATTTGGGAAAGCTGACCAATCCAACAAGTTTTTATGACTGAGTCCACTGAGCAAGCCTGATATGATGTTGAACCTAGCACAATTTAGAAAACCTTGCAAACCTAGCATGATTTCGAAACCTAACATCATTTTGAGGACAATACTGAACCTAGCACAATTTAGACAACCTTGCAAACCTAGCATGATTTCGAAACCTAGCACAATTTAGACAACCTTGCAAACCTAGCATGATTTTAAACCTAGCATCAATTTGTGGATAATATTGAACCTAGCATGATTTAGACAACCTTGCAAACCTAGCATGATTTTAAACCTCGCACCAACCTAACCTAGCACAATTTAAATGTGAAAAATGGCAATAATTTCGGCAGTCTATTACCCCTATACAGCTGCCTTCACGGATGGCCCTGGTTCGATTCTAGGTTGTTCTTACAGTTTTCTGGGGGTATCTTTTTATTCTGTCAGTTCGCTCGACGACATGACCATCTTCAGTTTCCATATCTGTAGATTCAGAACATGAGAGGATCAGGAACATCATGAGGTTATATCGTAGAGGTACATAGGGAAAAGTGTGAAAAGTATCCCATATTGTATGTACAAAAAAGAGAAAAGCAACCCCAAATCAATGAACAACAATTGCAAGAGCGTCAACACGTCGAACCAATCAAGTCGCAGAGCATCGAACCAATTATGACAAAGGCTTGTCTGGCCTCTGATGACTAACCTCCGCATCCACAACTCCACCGGCTCCTGACTCCGATCTCCCCTTGTGTGGTGATCGGGGCGTGCGCTGCGAGGTTGAAGCGTCCGAATCGATGTTTATCCAAGGAGACGGCTGACAGACGGCACGGCACGCGTTGGTTGCATGGTGGTGCACCAGCCGTCGGTCGCTGAGCTGTCCGCAAAAATAATTATATATTTACAATATTCAGTAGCCTCAAGGGGCTGTTTCATTCTCGATTGTCATTAGCTTTCAATCCAACCGTTTTGAGTTGACATGTAAATATGGTCAGTCATAGGCGGTCAAACTCAATAACTGACAGGGGCCAAAGAGTCAACATGCCTCATATATGATATCACTAATGTCCATTCAGACAACTGAATCAAAGTTGGATCGACCATTATTTGACTCTGGTAGCGCAAACGAAGCGATATTGTATCATGTAATCAATCCCACGTACAGCGCTGAACTCTCCATCAGAATTCAATTAATTTATTACTTATTCCTGCTGTTGAGTCCTCAAGTCTCTGCTTAATCACAATTTGATCATCCTGATTATACAAAGGGTTAACTAGTAAGCCAAAAATGGCACCTAGCCCACACCACAGTTTGGGGACTCCAAGAGAGCGACCAAACCACCTGGGTGCATTTAACAAAACTGCCAGACCGTATCTGCCACTTGACGGCCACTATTCCACTGATGCTAAATAAACAATGAAGAATGTGGTCATACATGTTTCACAAGTATCATCACTATCTCAACAAAGATTCAAAACCAGATTGTACTAGACTTGAAGGAGGCACATCACAATTCACTGAGGATTGTCCAAGAGAGGTTAAATTCACAGATTTGCCAAGTTCAGTCACTGAAGAAGTCCTTTGATGGCCTACCCAAGCGAAGATGATCAAAAAAGGCAGTTGCGCCACATTTCCTGATAGCTTCCGTGACAGTTTCAGGGCCATCCTGGCTATTTTTATCCACCAGTGAGCCTTTATTTGCATATTCAAGATGAAATCTGACCTTGATTTGACAGGTAATACAAATACTGTCACGTTATTGTGATCTCAAGCCAACCAAATCTGATTTGAGCATGTGAGCAGTACTTTTATAATATGACCAGCTCACCTTTCATATTTGGGTGGAACAAAATCCTAAGGAAAAGTCGGTTTAACTCTGGTTCGATTCCAGGTTGTCGCCTTGCTTATTTCGGAGGTGGACTCTTTTATTTTGTCAGTTCCCTCTACGACATGATCATCTGCAATTGTTCAGAACATCAACTACAATCCCTTATTAGAGCGCCAACAGCAGTTCCTCAACTTCGCGTCAAATCAGTCATGGCGAAGACTCGTCTGGCCTCTTATGACCCGTCAATACCACGGTCCCAGATCCGCGAAGCGATTATTTATCCGCGAACAGTGACCACAACTCCGCGGGCTCCTGCTCCCAATACATCATACCCATAACGTTCACCTTCAATCCAACATTTACCCTCATCTCAATGTTGACCCTCATCCCTTGTCAAAATCTGCATTTCCCTCAAAGTCATAAAGCCCACAGAAAGAAAAGGCTCGAAAAGGCTCGTCACCATTAAGGAGCCGCAGGAGCTGTATCGACCAGGTTCGCGGGTGGATCGACCAGGTGTGCTTGCACGGCAAGTGGATCGTGGTCAAGCTGGATCCAATGGTATCGCAGAGATCCTGGAAAGCGTCTATCGGACGTCATCCGACAAAACCGAGATTCTGGAATCCGATCATTGGACAAGGCACGTCAAAGCCTCGATATCCCAGATATGGCAATGCACTTTAACGTCTCGGACTCTCGGAGCGCAGGCAAGGCAATATAGGCGAAGAAATGGGCGATATAGTCCAGGAAATGGAGTCCTTCGGGGTCAAAGGGAATTGAGGTACGATGTTTTATTCCTGCTTTGGAAGCAATGATGGTGTGGTGGTAGCATGTCCAGCTAAACATTTGCCTTCACGAATAACCCTGGTTCGATTCCGAGTCATTGTGTGAATATGGAATTTGGTACTTTTATTCTGTCCCAGGTTCTCTATTTTCAAATTTTAGCTGTGTCTACTTTTTTGCGCATTTTTTCTGACCTGCATGCATTCAGAAGAGGCATGAAAGAAGTATGAAAATTGCTTGAAAATGCCTAAAATCTGTGCTCACAATATAGTAGCTTGGCTCACCACCTATGGTTCGGAGAAAAAAATTGGGATCAGCTTGCAGTGAAAAGGGACATGTCGAACCAATCATGGCAAAGACTTATCTGGTCTCTAATGATCAACCTCCGCGTCCACAACTCCACCGGCTCCTGACTCCGCGGATGAAGTGTGCGTAGTGATCGGGGCGTGCGCTGCGAGGCTGAAGCGTCCGAGTCGACGGACGACGAGCGCGGTAACACCATCCACCGCCTGCCGCTCGAACTGAAGCGATGATGGTGTAGCGGTAGCACGTCCAATTAACAACACTGCTGCACGGATGGCCCTGGTTCGAATCCAGGTCGTTGCCCTATCTCTCTCATCGTTTTTTTTTGTTCTGTCAATGCGCTCGAATATTGTTGGCACGCCTAAAAATCATTATTACAACCATCCATATATATATCTGCGAAGCCACACGAGAACGTAAGGGACGTGATCAGGTTTCACGAGGAGGAAGCTTTACATGATCGTATTCTTGTTTCTCTTTTCCAAGTGATGATGGTGAAGTGGTAAGTGGTGGAGTAGTGATAATACGTCCACCTGTTCAACTTTACGGATGGCTCTGGTTCGATTCCAGGTCGTCGCCTACAAGGGGATTCTACTCTTTTTTTATCATGTCAGCTCGCTCGTCTTCCATTGTTCATATCTCTGAAGCTCAGAACATGAGAGGTTCAGGAACATTATAGGTACTGAGGAACATCATGAGGTCATATCATAGGTACATCGGCAGAAGTGAGGTACATACGTAGAAGTAAGGTACATAGGAAAAGTGGAAAAACATCCAACATCGTAAAAGAAAAAGAGATGGAGACAAGCAACCCAGTCAACCACAATCCTTCCTTGCCCAGGACGTCGTTTCCCTGACCGTATTGACGTGTATCACCTGAATCTGACGTGCATCATCTGAAGGTAAATTGAGCTCCCAAGCAATATATGGACGGTCCAGGATGAGTATATGGATGGTCCAGAGTGACGTTTCGCAAACTTTGCGAACCATCGAGAAGACGCTGTGGCCAAAATATCGACAAGTCCAGCTTCCTCTTCCCACTCGTAGAATGGACGGCGAGGGTGAAAGTGGATGCTGAGTGGCAAGTGTTTGGAAAAGGAAACGAGACGGTTTAGGATATGCGCTCGGTGCGATCTAGGTCTATGTTGGACCAGAATTCGGGGTGCCTTTGAGAATCGAAGCCTATCGAGTACAGGTCCCATAAAAGGTGATCCTCGAGCATCACGGGCTCGAGCAAACCATCGCCGGAGTACAGTTCGAAGCGAGAAGCCTGCCGCCGCCGGTAAACCGGGCAACCTTCGTTAGGTCGGTCGAGAAATTAACCACGCGGCATCCAGTATTGTCAACTCTGCATTTCCTAGACCGATGAAATGTCACCATAATGATAGGTGTGTCCAAGTCTGATCTCATTGATAGCAGCAAGATGTGAACTTGAGAATTTTCTGGTACTCTCTCCAACATCGTCAAAGACCTGCCATGTACTGCATTTCAAACGGAATTACCATTGTTCATTGATTCAGTCATGTGTTGAGCGTTCATTCCATGCAAGTGATCACTTGGATTCTGTAGTATTGGGTTCTGCTGATCCTCTGTGACCTGTTGGCCTCTCACTCACGTCTCAAAGCTTTCCAGCATCCCTCCTTTGATATCCTGTCTTTCAGATATATTCCAACAGCTCAGATCACAAACTATAGCCAGATGAAATGAGTCCTTCAGATTTGACTGTGTGATTGCTGAATTGAGCTTCACATCTGTCTGTGTCGTATGAGTGACACTCTGGTACTATATCCTACCTGTCAAATCCGCAGTTCCATCAAATCCGAGATATAGATCAATTCTTTTCAAGACCTATACCATCAAGGAGTCCAATGGAGAAGTCCATATGATAACTTTTGCCACGGGCACAGCAATAGCCAAGAACCATTCCTGACTGTTTCCAGCACCCAACAATGCTTTGGCGAGCTCCAAAGGAGCAAGTCAAAACACTGGGTATCCAAAAATTTCAGGGACTCATGATTGCCTGAACAGGTCATGTCACTGCAACATCCGTCTAGTGATTGTCAGCCTAAGATCTTGATACTGTATGACTTTGAAGTAAGAGGATTTGTTTGTATATAAGGAAAGGAAAGAATTGAGGAAGAGAAATAAATTGGCCAGCAAAGTTGAATAGAAGTGATATGTGGATTCAAGCAAGTGAAAGGGAGAAGTAGGTTAAGGAAGATTAATAAACCACCCAGATAGACCTAAGAGAGTGACAGGAAGGAGAAAGTACACAAGAATAAATAAGCTAGCCAATTGAACAAAGGAGATACTTAGATTCAAGAGAGTGACCAGGTATCAAGAGCAAAACAAGACTGTTAAGCAAAGTTGTTAGAGCTGTTTTTTTCCATCATTTCTCCAAATGATTTTGTGGTTTCTGCTACTGATATATCATTTGTGTTGGACTCTGGCCTATCCTCCATAATGGGATCCAACTTATCATCCACAAGGTCAGATTCAAGCTCAACATTCAGGGTCCTATTTGTGTGATCTAAATTCCAAACTTTAATGTAGGAGCAAAGCATTTCAAATGACTGTAGCTTGTTTGTGACAACAGAAAGGAGTAGATCAAGAAAAATAAATAGAGCAGCAAAATTAAACGGAAGAATAGATTCCAGAGAGTGAAAGAAGGGAGCAAGTGAAGAAAATAAATAAACTAGAAAAGTTAAGGAAAAGAGATAGATTCAAGAGAGTGACTAAGTATCAAGAGCAAAAAAGACCATGTTAACCAAAATGACTAGAGCCGCATTTTTCCATCTTTTCTTCAAGTGGTTCTGCCACTGCAATATCATTGGTCCTTGAATCTGGCCTATTATCCATAGTTGGATCCAGCCCATCATTCATGGTGAGTTCTGGATTATCATCTGTGTTCAAATCTGGCATCACTGAGTCAATGTGACTAGTCATGGAATCAGGTGCAACGTCATCCTCACTCTGAGTTGCAGTGGGAACTGAATCAAACTTTTCAGAAGCCACAGTACATGTCCGCTGCTGTCCCACTAGTGTACTTATGCAACTTTCCACAAATAAATATAGCCCATCGCAGCGACACGGAGGTCGGACACTGACTTTATCCACAAACATTCAAGTGATCACCATGGGTCTTTCACCTGAATGACAGAATTTTCTTTTCCTCGGTTAGTATGCCCTGAGTTGCCCTCGAGCTGGACATGAATTTGAGTTGGCTTAGGCCTGTCTCAGGAATCGGTATTTGACTGTTATCCATCGGCCAATGTCCATGTACTTGTCGGCTGTCTGCTAGGAATCAACTGGTGAAAGCGTTCATGGAGGGAATTGAGAGGAGACTCATTGAGGATTTGGAAGGTGCAATGTTGCAAGTATTCTGGCTTTGAAGAACTGTTCATCTCCAGCTTTCACATCAACCTTCAGATATTTTGTGTCGATCCCATCCGTAGAACCTCTGGATTCTCGTTATCTCGATGACGGAAGAAGCCAGTAGAACTTATGTCCCCTTCGGGGTGACTTACGTAAACATTGGAACGATACAGAGAAGATTAGCATGGCCCCTGCACAAGGATGACACGCTTTCCCGGAGTGGTAGCCTCTTAGAGGCTCAATATTTATTTTGTTTCAAATATTTTGAGGTGTCAAGAATCTGGTATCATTCAAGTCTCCTGCTATATGTATAGTTGTCTCGGGGGTCAAACTCTATTTTGCCTATCATTCAAGATCGCCGCGGCCAGGAACAGGCACCCTTAGCAGATGCCCGCGGGTCATTTTCGAAATCTGCATTTCCCTTGAAGTCATAAAGCCCCCAGAAAGAAAAGGCTTCAAAGTCCAGTGGTCCAGGAAAAGGCTCGAAAAGGCTCTTCACCGTCAGAAACATAACCTGCTTGGTCTGGCGGCGATATTTAAGGAGCTGCAGGAGCGGTATCGACCAGGTTTGCTTGCATGACAAGTGTATCGTGGTGAGACTATAGCTGACGGTATCAGTGAGCTAGCTCCTGCAAAGCGTGTATCGGGACGGCCAGATATGGCAATGCACTTTGATGTCTCGGAGCGCGGCAAGGCGATATAGGCGCGAAATAGAGTCCTTCGGGGTCCAAAGGGAACTGAAGTACGATGCTTTGTTTCTACCTTTGAAGCGATGATGGTGTAATGGTAGCCCGTCCAATTATTACAATGCTGCACGGATAGCCCTGATTCGAATCCACGTCATCGCCTATGTGGCTGAACATATTCTTTTGTTCTGTCAATGCGCTCAAATATTGGTGACACATCTGAAAATCATTATTCGCAGAATCTCTTACACCCATATATCTGCGAAGCCACCTGAGAACGTAAGGGATGTGATCAGGTTTCACGAGGAGGAAGCTTGAGCTACAGTATATAATTGTGAGGCATCTTTTATAAGCGACGATGGTGTGATCGTAGCACATCCAACTGTCCAATACGGATGGCTTTGGTTCGATTCCAGGTCGTCGCCTGGAATGCATCTTCGATTGCCTTTTTATTCTGCCAGGTCTTTTTATTCCGCGAGGTCACTCATCTTCCAATCTTGATATCTCTAAGCTCAGAACATGAGAGGGGCATGTGCATAGGTAGAAGTGAGGTACACAGGGAGAAGCGGGAAGAGCATCCGACATTGTACTACGGGAAGAGTACTATCCGACATTGTAAAGAGAAAAAGAGATGAAGAAAATCAAAGCGGCCCGATCAACAACGATTCCTCAAGCGTCGAAATAATGATGGCGAAGAGTCATCTAGCCTATAATGAACCAGTGGGATAAAGGCCATCCTCC